CTAAAAACCAAAAATGTGTTTATAAATTTATAGTTGAAACAATTAGTAAAAATAAACTGACGTACCATATTTCTAAACTGTTAAAGAAAAATAATCATTCTCTATATTATCTTTAAGATCTATATATTTCATGAAATATGAAAGGTCTATATATATGAGGAAATTTTTGAAAAGTGGCATTTTAAAAAAATTCTCTATATATAATAGTAAAACTTTATCTCCATCTAATGTGTCCACATAAACAAAATAATTCTTTTATAATAAATTTTATTTTAATGTTTCATTTAATTCATGTTTATGTATATTTATTGTTAATTATAACTACTAAAATTTTTAATTGAATAAAAAAACTAAAAAAAAATGACTAAATATCATACATTCAAAATTATTTGAGTATTTGTAATATTGTAAATACAAATTACAACAATGCATATATTTTATTTGAGAGCAATAAAAACATAATGAACTTATGATAACGATAAATTTACAAAAATTTTGTATCTCAATAAAAATAAAATCTTACATTGGATTTTAACTTCATTTCTTTATTGTATAAAATTTCACTAAAACTCAAAAATATATATGCACATAACTAAAATAAAATAGTTTTAATATCATTCGTTATAAGATTGAGTCAATGTTTAACATCAAATCTCTAGATAGATGTTCTCATAAGACTACAATAGGGAAGAACTTTCTCATGTATAAAGGATTGTGGGTTGGTTGTCAACGTCGGTTTTTATTTTTGCTAGGTTTCAACTGACATAATTACCATGTATCACCTAGCGATTCATTGTTTTTTCAAAGAATCTAATTTATCATGAACAATATTATGTTGTATATCGTTTGATAAAATAATTTTGCATTTATATTAATCTTCATATTGCTTTATTTTAAAAATTGAAGTGGTTATATTATATTCAAATATTCATATTTTTAAAAATTAAATAGGAAAAATATGAAGCATGTTTAAAATTATCAAATATTAAGTTTGCTAAATATGTTGTAACATATTTATTTTCAAATAGGAACAATTGTTTTGATATTAAAATGAATGAGCATCACTTCATATTTCCATACAACATAAATAAGAGAAACCGTTAATTTCATTTCAATTCAAAACAAATATTATTTTATAACTACTAAAAAAGGTTTGTGTTGTCAATTATAAATATAAAAATACTAGATTAGTTAAAATTTTCATCAAAATAATTGAAAAATTTGTAAAATAAAAACTCGCGTAACGCGCGAACCATAGTCTAGTACCACTAATCACGAAGTACATTAGCTCATCGTATCAAAATTAAATTGTTTCTTTTACAATTTGTTAAATCTAGTGACGAAAATAATTTTAATTAATCTAGTAGTTTTATATTTACAATTAACAAAACAAACAATATTTTATAGATATAAAATAATATTTCATTTGAATTGAAATGAAATTAATTTTTTTTCTTATTTGTATGGTATGAAAATATGAAGTAATGCTCAATTATTTCAATATCGCTAGTTTCGACTTGAAAGTAAATATGTTTGTTTGAGACTTTATTATATATATAGTTTTTGTAGTTAACCACTTTCCATTTTATTAATCATAATTTTCTTTCATACTTCATGATATTGTTCAATATATTTGAATGAATGAAGTTTAGGTCTTCAGCCTCCTAACAATCAAGTTACTTTAATTATTAACATCCTTTAATTTTTTATTTACTCACTCATGTCGTTTATCTACGTTTTCACTTATCTGTACTTCTATTCATGAGATTGCGAAGAGTGTTACTCGTGAGGGTTGGTTTCAGTCGTACCTTGCTTCCGGAGGCCATGCATGGCTACACAAAAGAATTCGATGTGATGCTTCTTTTTCTTAACATATTTTTGGTCCTTGTCATTGGGTATTTGATGTTTTTGCTCTCTTTTGGTTTTGTTTCATCAACACTATATCGCTTTATTTAATATCATTCAAACGTTTAAAAAAAAATTGCTAATGTTTTTATTACTCTCAAATGAAGTACAATTTAAATGAAATATATTTTTTATTGTAATTTTGTATTTACAACAATAAAATACTCAAATATTCTTATATGTACTACTTTTAATCA